CCTCCCCCCCAAAAAAAGTGCTGGTGCAAAATGGCAAAACTTTAGAGAGACCTGGATGGCTTGTGCTTGCCCTCCTCCCCATGGGGGCCAAAACATGCAGGACAGGAACTGTTGACAATTAAGTGATGAAACTCTCCAAAAAAATGGAGGCAGAGAAAGACTCTGGAAGAAGATTGGTGTGTAGCCGGCTTCTGTCTATTTCCTATTTGTACCTTTTTTTAATTTGCTTGTGCTTAATTGCTTGTAAAGGGAGGAATGCATGTGAAATGTAGGCAGCCGAGCGACTTAAGTTTGCAAGAGATCGGCGTAGACACTCGGGAAGGGGGTGGATTTGAACCGAGGGGAAGGAGGGTGGGACGAGACTTAATTTTTTTTCCCCTGTCGGAGAGGGATTGTGCTGGTCCGGGGGTGGGGGTGGGGGGGTGTGCAGGGCTGCCTGCCGGGATTGCGGATTTGCAATGTGTGCACAGAGAGAGGGGTTGTGCAGGAGCCCAGCTTTGTCCCTGTGCATGCGGAGCGCGGGGGGTCGTGCCCGGGTGTCCCCGTCGGCTTGCACGGGGGCTCCGGGGAGAGCAGCGGCAGCAGCCCGGCCTCGCTGCTGCTTCCCCGGGCCTACTCCTTACACACCCCTCCGTGCACGGCACTCGCCCCGGCCCCTTCCCCGGGACCCCCTCACTTTTGCCCGGCGAAGTGCGCAGGCTCTGCTGGCACTGGCATAACGTGGATCGGAGCACGGGGGGTGGGGGGAAGCCCATCAATCCCGGTGTTACATAATGCAATTTGTTTTTAAATCGCGGCTTCCGGTGTGACTATGGAAACAGTTGGAGGGTGGAAAGGCTGCGGGGTGCAGGCTGCCTTGCCTGCTTGCAGGGGGGGGGGAGGTTGATGGCAGAGAGGGGTTGAATGGCAAAGAGGATCAGAGCCATGCAGGGCTCTCCTTTTTCCTCCCTCCCCCTCCCGGGGTTGCACAAGGGAAGCAGGCGGGGATGGATGCGCATTTAAAGAGTAAAAAGACATGCAGCGTTTGCCTGCAGCCAAGCACCTGTTGTCTCGGGTCGGTCCCGTGTCCCCAGGGCGAAAGGGGTGCAGGGGCAGCGGTCCTACCGCGTACCTGGGTGGGGGTTTGCAGCCTTGCAGCCTTTTCTGGGAGAGGGGCTCCCCGCATCCCCCTCGGTACAGCGCCTTGTTTCTGATTTATTTTGTAGCGCTCTATTGGTAGAAGAAGGTACGATGAGAACGAGGACCTCTCCGACGTGGAGGAGATTGTCAGCATCAGGAGTTTTAATTTGGAGGAGAAGTTAAAGAGTAAAATGTATCATGGGGATTTCGTGCATGCCATGGAAGGGAAAGGTAAATGCGGAGCTGGCTGGGGGGGTGTGTGGGGGGCGGCTTCTGGCCGGGATTGCTGCGGAGGAGCGGAGCTGGTGGTGTCTCCACGTGCAGAGTTTGTGGCTTGTTTCGTATTTCCCGCCTGCATCCCCCCTTCCAGGGGATCCGGTGACGAATCCAGGCCGAGCAGCAGGGGAGGGGTTGGGGGGATGGGTGTTGCACACTGGGCCCTCGCCAGGAAACAACACACGCACACGTGTGTGTGCTGGCACGGGCTGTCCTGGCTGGACCCGGTTCCCCGTCCCCTGTGCACGGACGTGCCCCTTCTGGCGTTGGCATCAGGGGGTGCGGATGCGGCTTGCAGAGAAGCCTCCGTGGCTGCTAGCCTGACCCCGGATCGCTTCCCTTGTGTTTCCAGGGATCAGGTTCGTGGAGGAGCTGCAGGAAACCCCAGCCCCACCTCCGCCTGCTGGTGTTTCCCGCTCCCCCCTCCGCCCCCTATTCAACCAGGGCCCTTTGCATCTTGTTTGTCAGCTGCTAAGGATGCAACTCCAGGCTGTAGACTTAACAGCTCCGTCGTGTTATTAAATCCCCCCTGCCCCAAACCGCCTAGATTCGCTTGTGACTTACGTGGCTAGATAGGTACTCAGTAGGCGAGACCAGCCCATGCAGGGGTTGCTCTCCAGCAGGGGCAATGGGAAGGTGTAGTTTGCCTGCTGGAGCGGATGTAGGGGTGGCAGTTTTTCAAGTCACCTTCACGTAGCGCGAGTCACTGAACCTGGCACCAAATCCCAGCTACTTTTGTCCACACCCTGTGGCCTTGCGGGCACTCCAGTCCGAACCACCTCTCAGAAACATGCAGCCGCTAGCTGTCATGTGTCATCCTCATCAGACGTCAAGAATGATTGAGTCAGGCATTTAATTTATTTATTTTTTATTTTTTTCAAGGCTCAGGCTTGTGTGGACATTTTTAACTCCTAATGTGGCCAGGGATATCAACTGTTGTACATAGAGCAGGGGTTTTTCCTGGAAGGGAGGGGGGGAATAGCTTCCTCTTGTCCCCTGACACAAGATGCTGATACCTGGTCCTTGCTTTTAAAATGCCGGGTAATTTTTCAGGGATTGCTTTCTACCATCATTTCCAAATTCTTTGCTCCCTCCCATTGCTGCTAGCTAACCCTTCCACTATTTCCCTTGCTCAGCAGCTTTGCAAACCTTTTGTAGCTTTCTCCCTTCTAGGGAACTTGAAAATAAATGAGTGTCTTTTGTTACTTTGTTTTGGTCTATGTCTGCTTTGTTCAGCCCCACAAGGGATTTTAATGCTTTGTTGGGCCTTTATAAAGAGAAGGTCTGTTTTCATTTTTACCACTGGTTTAATTTTTCTGTGAAATCAAAAGATGAATTGAACTTAATCAAAAATACTAAATTTGCCTACTGTGCTGTTGAGAGCAAGACTAGAAATATCAAGTTATTGGAACACATGGAATCGGTTGATTTTAATTTTTTTTTTTAATCTTCTATTTCCTTGTTTTTATTTTCAATGGGAGCAGTACTTTGATCTCTGGCCAGGAATGTGGGCTGGAAGTTTTCTTCAGAGGTGCTGCAAGGCTGCAGTGTGATTTTTGGCTTGGACACAGCCCACCATAGCTCTCTAGTCTAGATTTATTCTCTAGCCTAATATGCAGTGGATCTGCTTCTCCTGGACACCCTTCACCTGATTCCTGACTTTGTGTCTTGAATGGAGGATGCGCTTATCCAGTGGATATTTATTGATTCAGTTAAATAAAATACTTAAAGGAATATTTTAAGTTGTGAGGCATTTACATAATAAACCATAACGATTTTTGCTAATGGGGAACTATTCCTTATGCTGCCTCTCACTGAAATATTGATTGTGGAAGGTAAATTCCACGCAATGGAAAAACAAATGATATTTTTAAAGGGCTAGTAAAATAATAAGCTACATGGGCTATTTGTTTAGCAGGACTAAGCAAGGATCCTTTATCCCTGCTTAGTCCTTAAAAGGATCCTTAAAAGGATCCACGCTTTTTGTAACAACGGGGAAAGTTATAGAAATAGATAAAAACATGAGTAGGAATATGAATTTATCATGAATTTCCAACACCCCATTCTAGTTTGGGTGTCAGAGGGACATGATTTGTATAAACCTGGGGATGAAAATTTTCATGCAGTGTCCCAGGAAGGTTGTGTTTTAGATAATTACTTATTTGATCAGTTGACAGTAAAAATGTATAGACAAACAAGCATAGTATTGAGTGTTTAGTTTAAAGTGCTGTTAATATTTGTAGCGTACAAATAATCCTGAGGGGATGCTGTCCAGCTATCCAGACTTCACTTTCCTGTGAAAAAGGAGGATTACAGACCTCCAGACATACTCTCTGGCTACTTCAAGATTAAATTTTGCATCTCTGGAGGCAGAATATAAATCGACTATGAAACTTGTGAAGACTTTACCCACCCAAGTGAATGCTTATCACTTTTTCCTACTACCCGAAACAGGAAAAAAAAAAACATTGTTTCATTCATGACGCATAATTCAGACCACTGAATGTTAAAATCAGCATAAAGAGCCAATTCATTTTCATCCTTAAAATTAAATAATTATGCTTTATTATTCAGACAACAAATCTTTGTTCTATTCTCTAGTTATTTGGTCAATAAATATGTACTCTCCTTTAAATCTATGAATCTATGAATCTCACTAATTCAGCCATGCCTGAGGTCACAAGATTTTCACCTATAGGCTTCTGTCCTGCCCGCACACTATGGACCTGTTCAGTTCATTGAACTTTCTCAGACTAGTGTCAATAAAATATGTGCCCAGCTGTTTGCAGGATCAGGGTCTTACAATGTACTTCTGTAAAGTTCAGTAGAAACAGAAATATGTAGCTCAGTCCATGCCACACTGCTTAATAGGCAGACAAGGTTCTTTGGGTAGATGTGATATCTTTTATTAGACCAACTAAATAGTTGGAAAAATTGTTCTTTGCAAGCTTTCAGGCACAAACAGCCTTCTTTGGGCAGAACTTTCTCTCTCTTTGTCCTTAGACCAACACAGCTACCACCAACGACACTAATGGTAATTTAGGTCAGTCTCCTGTAACTGTTATGCAGCATTTCATAACCCAGACATTTCAACCTCATACTCCCATTGACAAGCACTGCTTTCTACTTTATGTGCATCTGTAAATAAGGAAAATAGAGAACAGCTGCAGACTATTGTTTGTCACCTAGTTTCTGCTTGTGACCTAAAATATTGCCTCTCTTTACAGTTCTGTATAAGTTATAGTAAGTTTTCTTTGCTGAATACAGAAAAGCGGAGACTCTTGACAATCTCTGATATGAAGCAAAAATGTAATTTTAATACTTTTTGTGTATTTAAATCAGATTTCACTTTTGAGTACGTGCAAAGAGAAGCTCTCAGGATTCCCCTTATTTTCAGAAGTAAAGATGGACTTGGAATTAAGTAAGTTGCAGCTAAATCTTAGTTTTGATTCAATGTTTTATGAAATAATCCTAATACCTGCATGTGCTCTCAAAATGTATTATGGATAGCATGCTCAAGAGGAGGGTAAGGGTGATTATACTTCATTTACAAATGAGCAAACCGAGGCTGGGAAAGTTTAAGTGCATTCGGGGCAGTTGTACAGTCACAGAGCAAGTCAGTGACAAAGCCAGAAACCAGAACCCTGGTTTTGAACCATCTAATGACAATATTTGTGTCTGACTTCCCATGTAACTTCTAAGTTATGTTCTGAATGATGTGTGGGGGACACTGTGATAGCTACAGTTAAGCATGCTTCAAATTTTCCATTATAATGGTCTTTTTTTAGAAACCAATATTTAATTATAATAAAATTCAGAATTATTATTTGTATGGGGTTGGTTTTGTTTGAAAGCTCAGGACAAAAAGGATTAAGTTTTGAGAAATAGTTGACTCATAATATATTGTTTTCTGATTGGAAAAAATAAGACTACCTGCAACCACTTTTTAAGAGGTTTTAGTACCTGGAATGTAAGGCAGATAATTCATGGGATGGGGAAGGGGGCCTTTTGACATTTACTTAAGGTATGAACATAAAACCTTGATATTAAAATGAAAAAGTCTCTTATAACTTTGAGATGCTAATTATTTTATTTTTTTGTGTGTAAAAAGTTCTGTGTAGTGTCTAAAGTGGTACAAAAATGGAAAGATCCTGATTATATTAAAAGTGACTCCTAAAGCACAAGCAATATAAAGCTCAGGGAAGGTTGTGCAAGCAACTTTTTGTCAACCTTAAACTTTTGAGTACTGTGCTTCATTTTACAACTTTACTGTTTTTTAATGTCTGTTTTGTATAATATTATACTACTGGGTTTCTCAAGTTATGTTTTCTTATGGATATTTTGTCCTCTAGTTCTGTTTATGCTGAGAAACCAGGCAGTCACACTGTAAAAGAGTAAATTACATTTTCATCTGCCTCACACAGCATAAATACAGCTGTCAAGTTGGTTACAGTGCAGAATCTCTATGACAGGTGAAGATATAAGGAGAATAAAAAAATGCCTCTTGATTTTCAGTTCCCAGGTGGAGTTTGGAGAGCTGATTGTTAGAGAAAAGGGCTTTTGAATTGTAAACTGGATTCTGAAGAGACTGGGAGAGAATAAATATGGAGCTCCATAGTAACAGTTTTACAGTCACTTTGCTGACTCTAATCACACTCTAATGTTTATTAAAGGGGAAGAGAATGGATACTTGAGTTTGCCCTGATGAGCTTAAAATAGTCTCCAACCCCCAGACTTGACTAGCCAGTTTCTTTGTCCCTTACCCAACTGCTGATATCTTTCCTCTATTCTAGTGGGAATGTACTTGGCTAACTGATCCTGTATTGTTTCCCCCTCTTACAAAATGAACCATATCGTGTGTACAGCTTAATCCAGCAGATGGAATTAATAGCCTGAGAAGGTCAGAGTAGCTGGTATGCAACACACACACACACACACACACACACACACACACAAAAACCAAATTAAAAGTACCATATCATCATGTAATTCCAGATGTATCATAATGGTTAGATATGCACAGGAAGGCTAAATGAAGGTGGCACAGCTTTTAAGTGCTTGGTTTTGCAACCTTAATCATTTTTCAAACTATTTTTTTTATATAATGTCCTTAAGTGTTTTACAGTATTTTACTTTTTAAGAACAAACGGGTGGGCCCTGCCCCCTTCTGCTCCCTTCCCCAGGTTGATCTGTTGTCTCTTCTGCATTCAAATTGAGTAGTTTTGTCTTCCAAACTGCCAGAGCCTGGCAGGAAGGGCGGTGAGAACAAGTGTGACAGGCTCTTTGCTTTAAGGTCTGGCAGAAGGACCTGCAGCTTACTGCTGGGATAAACTGGATCTTGGAAGATTTAGCTTGTGAAATCTAAGAAGTTTCTGCTGAGCACTTACAAACTGCCATTTTTCAAAGCTTTCTAACATGGGCATTTTTCAGCAAATTTTCATGGATATGGCAAGAGGTGTATCTGACACAGAAGCTACCAACCTGCCCAATTTTAAGTCCCGGCTCCAAAGCATGAGTATGCCAGTTCGTCTCAAGATCAGCATTATTACAAGAGTAAAATGCCATTTTTTCCCAGCAGTCAGGGCTCATGGTGATATCTTTTATTAAACCAACAAGATTTTTGCAAAAAAAATATTTATTTTTAATTTATTTAATTTAATTTAATTTATTTAAACATTTATTTTCTATTAAAAAAAATTCTAAAAATTCTAAAAAGATTTCTATATTTTCCCAGCTTGTTACAAATGGCTGAACTGTCTGCCTGAACTTTTCCAAAAAAATTAAGGTTGAGGCAGACATCCATCAGGGAACATTTCAGCCCAAATGGTTAAAGTTTGGCTAAGCAATACATAACTGAAAGTATGTTCTTTTAACAGGAAGTGTTGAACTACCTTCATAATAATCAGCCTAATTTTTTTATTTCCAAAATACTTTGACAGGATTAGAGAAAACATTTCAGCTCCAGTGTTTTCACCCTATTCACACTTAAGTAATCGCATTCTGTTGACACAGATTCTTTCAGCAGCTGCAAACCAGGCTGCAAGCTTCAATCCCTGTCCCAAACTCTTGTGTAGCATTGCAATCTCCAGCTCCATTTAGAGCACTTTGGTAGAAGGGAGCCCTCTCTGTAGTACACCAAGCAATTTAGGATGAAATGTGCTATATAAATATATGTAACAGGCAGTATATTTAGTACTAGTATAAGAGCATTTGAGATTGATGTGATACTTAGTAGTAATTGGAGCTATGTACTTCTAGTTGCCTGATGTTAAATAGCTTGCACGCCTGTCACCAACAGATCTACAACACGTAGCTCTTCTGTTGCTGCATACAGTAAGGCTCTGAAGTTGCAGGAAGCGGGGTAGCTGATGGAGAGATGATTAAAAATGAAAGTCAATGTTAAAAATTGCTTTGTGGTTTTCCATTTCGTATACCCAGCCATGGCGAGCCGTTGTTATTCCTAGTGGTCAGAAGCAGGAAGCTCAAGTCCTGACCTCTTTTACCAGCAGTTGTTTTCTTTAGGCAGATGTGAACATTTAGATGCTCCTGTGATTGCATGTTGGAAAGCTGTCTCTTTTGGTTTGGTGGCCTGCAGCAGACACCCACCGTGACACCCCCCTGGTGCTTTCCTCTCTGACCTTTACCCGGAGGCCTACTTTCCACTTTATCCTGCACCTCAGAGCACGGGTACATTGCCTTTATATATAGGGCAATGCCTCCTCCTATTCCCTGCCTGTCCTTCCTGAACAAGTTACCACCCATGCCCATATTCCAGGCACGTGAAGTATCTCGCCACATCTCCGTAAGCCCAATTGCACGATCATTCTTTATTTGTACTAGGACTTCAAATTCTTCCTGTTTGTTCCCGGTGCCTCTCGCATTAGCATATGAGTATTTGAGGTATCTAACTGAATGTCCTGTCTTTTCTCTGAGAACATTTCTTAGGCTTCTGCTATTGGTTCCCTTTACTAAGTTTTTATCCAGATCCTCTGGCGTTTTACTTACTTCTGGGCTTTTTTCTCCACCTTTAGATCTTTAATTACTGCATTTTCAAAGTACTGTACAAACAAAGTTCTCAGCCTTGTCATTAATGTGCAGTAACTAAGATAGAGATCTTCTGTCTCTGTCTTTCGTTTGTTTTTCTTTCCTGACTTTTAAGTTGCCCTGTTTGCTCTGTTCCAAATGTTAATGATCTCAATCCACAAGATCTCGGCAAGGCTCTGAATGACTTGTGCTTAAAATTCTCCTTCTTGATGCTCTCGACTGCTGCTTACTTGCATTTAAAACCTAAAACATGATCTCTATTAAAAAGGGTGTTATAAATAGCAGTGTCAACACCAGGGAACAATTCCACCACTGTTTAGCTTAGAGACTGCAAATATCTGATGCAGAGACGGTCTCAACTGACTTCCGGTCCAAGACACTTACGTTGCTCCACCAAGGTACAGTTGGGTTGTGGAAGGAATTTCAGTGTAGGAGAGCACTTGGGATGGTTTCATTCCCAGCTCTGAATCTGACAATGTGTGATGTGGCATTGTACAATTCACTTTACCTCTTTATGCATAAGTTTATATGCATGGGGGAAAAACAAGATAATTTACCTTATGGGGGTATTGTGAACCTTACTTGTTTGTCAAGACCTCTGAAATGCTGAGCTGGCAGATGCATTAGAAGTATACCAAAGTATTGAGTTTGTCAAAAAACCTGTCCACATGCAACTGCTACTACCAGGGTACCAGCACATGCTCCCTAGTCATTCTGAGTAGAGACATTTTGTCTTTGTGCTAAACAGCTATGCCATATAGCATCAAAATAGTCAATAATATGCCTTTATAATATTCTCCGTCCTGCCAGAAAAAAGCTGTCCATGCTGTTCAGAAAAACTGCTTGATCCTTGCTGCTAATAGCCATGTTTTGTAAAATGTGGAGAAATAGCACTATAAACTTATTTCTGTTTTATCCATGTGAAAATTTGGTCCCACTTGTATTTGGACAGCATTCACATTCCTTTTCTTTGTATTGCTAATTATAGAATGCCTGACCCAGATTTCACCGTCAGAGATGTGAAGTTACTAGTGGGTAAGTTGTTCTGAATTTACTGTATTTTCTGTATTTATCAGTGCTGCTTTTTTAATGTTAATTTTGTATAAGACTCCAGATGTGCTTGTAAGCACGCATTAACTCAGGATCTGAGGGAAAGAACAAAGAACCAGTTTGTAACAGAAAAAGGAATATATCCTAATTAGTAGTTATGCTGATGAAGCTCTGAAACATACTGGAAAATGGGCCACTTGTAAATATAGTGAATGCTTTTCTCTAACAGGTAGTAGATACCTGTTCTTCTAGCCAGATGGCATTAGCTGCTTCCCTGCAAATACATCTTTTAACTTGGAAAGCAGCAGTTTTGCTGATGGAGCTTGTAGCCATGATTTGTTGTTGAGCAATTTGTTTTATAAGCTTAATTACAGCCATATAACATGGTAGCTGTGAACTCTTTATAAGCTTATTAATGTCAGGCCAGGGCAGTGTTTGATGGAAAAACTCCAAGGGAGCCCAAATGTGGAAGCGTCATGAGATGGCTTTGGTGGTTTAAAAGCAGGCACTCTTCCCTGTGCAGTACTGAATTAACACCCTCTCGTAGTCTTCAGCAACGCTGTCTTTTGCCCGAGACCTAACACGAAGGTCCTGATCATTTGTGATCATAAAAAAATCATGGCAATTTTTATAGAAGTAGTAGTGTTAACCCTGATGAAATGGCTGTGTTTAAACAGTGCAATTATGTTACATGCTGTCTAAATCCCTCAGCAAGTGAAAAAGTGCAAGTTTTTCTTCACATCCTGTCCTAACAATGGGCACTACACTACACATGACACTACACGCACTACGGCGACATAAGTGTCCGCGGGAGTCTACATGTGACCAGCAGCTACTTTGCCATAGCGACGCACTCCCCGGGTATGGCACACCACTACAGAGAAGTAACTGCTAAAAATAACCATGAACTGTGCGTATGGCACAGTAACAACATCACCATAGCGATACGTGTAGGTGCGCCCAATGATACTCAGTGCTGTGTCCTTCAAAACTGGCTGCATTTCAGTGATGGGAAAAGTGGTCTATAGATGTAGATCTTTATATTGATGTTAAAATTTTAATTCACATTGTAAAGAATTAATTCTTGGTGTGTAAGTGTTTTGTGTTTGGAAAATGCCTAGAAGAGACTCCTGCCTTATTCAGTTTCAGAAATGCACAAACCCAAATGCATTCATGCAAAATTACATTTAAGCTAATTAATGGACATGCTATTTAAAATGAAACAAAAAGGTAACTTAAAAAAAAAGACATGATGCAGCTATTTCAGTTTTACCATTTGCCCCGTAGAGAGAATCCCTATTTCACTAAGGAAATGTTGTTGTGTTGCTTAACTGACAGTGTTGTACAAAAAGCTTTGAGATCTTCTATCTGATAGGAGATACTGTAGAAGTCTAGTTGGAAGTGTTGTTTTGATATCAATATAGAATTTATCTATAGAATTTGATATCAGTATAGAATTTTAATATCTTTTCATATCTGTACATTCTTAGATGAAAATAGGAAATATGAAATCATATGAGAGCACAAGGAAATCTCATGACTATTGAGGAAATCAGTACTTTTGAAGTTGGAGATGTTGGATTTCTGCTGTTTTGCTGTGCAGTGGCTTTCCATTAATGCCGATTGTCTGCACTCTGGAACAGCTCCTTTGTAGATTTATTCCATAACTTCTGCTCTGCTGTTTCTCATTTTGAAGTTGCTGCAATCATTTAACTAATTATGTAGTAATTCTGGGAACAGTGTAGTGTTGCATAACAGACTATTATGTAGGAAAAAGTGTAAGTGTGAGAGCTGCTTTCCTCTTAGATTCATATCTTTGGCAGTATTATGGGGTGGAGATTCCCATGTACGTTGGCCAAGAACATTAGGGTGAAGTAAAGAGCAAAGCAGGAGGATATCTAGAAATGATATTACATTCTTTAAGTAATGAGGCATAAATAGACATCAATTTGAGAGCTGAAATTTGAGGACATTAAATTTCTCACATTTGGGAGCAGTGAGCTGTGCACACACACCTGGCCAAACTCTGAATATTATATAGATATCCTCTCACCGCATTTGGATGAGCTTCAACTGGAAATCCCAGTCCCAACCTATAACTTGTTCAAGAACATTGTGTCCTGCTGTTAAAAATAAGATGTATAGCCTTTGGCGTCACAGGTGAAAATTTGGTTAAAAAAACCCCCGTTCACAAATATTTAGGGGATCTCTGTGTCTGCAACTTTTATGTGTCAGTTCACACTTTTATAGCAAGCCATATATATGAGCACAGTATCTATATGCCTTACAGCACACAGAGGGCCATGTACAGGCCTGGTAAAAGCAGGTGCAATTCCATTGTTTGTGCCTAATTTCCAAAAGGCATGTAAGTGAACTCAGAAAGTCAGGCAAACTAGAATGAGCTCCATATTAGATATTTTTTCTGCTCATTTATCCAGTATTTTTGGCTTAGTACCTGAAATTAAACCTTTCCACGTGGGACCTTAAACAGAGTTCCCACCTGCTCTGTGCAAGGATTAAAGACTCAAGATACTTGTCAGAATTGGATTTGTCCCTGTGTTTTTGAAAATTGCCCTTCCCTGCATGTGAACTTGAAGGTTACTGCATTTCAGGAATATTGTGTGTACAAGTGAAATGCCTCAGGGAGCATGCAGAGAGAAAGATATTTTACAAATATGAAGTAGTGTAATATCTACCCACAGAGTCAGAATTTGTGCTGAAGTCAATAGGGAGAATGCAGCTTGAAAATAAAACACTCTAGTGTAAGTTTGTCTATTGTGGCCATCATTGTAGCATCTGTAAAAGTTTTAATTTCTTCCAAGGATGAATCAGTGCATGTGTATCTTTGTCATAAGGATATTTTTGAGAGATTCAGGGCGCTAGTTTTCAACGTAGCTAAATCTCATTGCAAGTCAGTGGGACTTCAAGTCATATGTGACTTTAAATTTTTGAAAATCTCACCCACTGTTAATTAAAAAAATCAAACTCCTTTATCTCTTGTATTTGTTGAATGTAGGATCCTTCACTGTGATGTTTAATGACAACAAAGAGAAGGCAGTGTCCATATCCTAGTAAAATCAATTGGATTTGGGTACCTAACTCTTTGAAAATCCCAGACTACACTATTAACAAAGAATTTAAAAAACAGAATTTACTTGTCAGTATGCATGCTTCTCATTTGTTCTTTCTGTCGTTACTATTCATTCAGAAAGCAATGAAAGCAGCTTGATTTTTGGTGCGTTGTATCTTAGTGTTTGGACTCCAGTCTATATTTTAAAAAAAATCTCAGTTTTCACTAGGATCTGTAAGCAGTAGTGTAAAAGCATTATCCTTGGGCTTGGTTTTCAGAAATGCTTGTTGTTGCAAAGTGTAAATGTTGTCCCCAATTTAAGAGGACAACTTCTTCTTAAGATCTATTATGATTTATATAAGGGCATGGTCTAGATTAGTTTGTGTGTCTATGTTAAACATAGTTCAAATACTATAATATTGGTTCTAACTAGACAGTTAACTCTACTCTAAATGAGCAACATCCCAACTATTTTTTAAAGCCAAGGTCAGTGGATTAATTTAAGTTGTTGGAATTTGTCTGATCTGTAAAATGGCTGTGAGCCAAGAAATCAATTGGAGAGGAGGAGAAAAACTCTTGGTCTACTTAGGAACTTCAGACTGCTTAAAAGAGAAATAAACTACTGTAATATCATTAAATATTAGGCCCTTATAATTTTCTTCTCTAATGTGGATTTGAATACTAATTCTAAAGGACAAGGTGTCATTGTCATGACATCATAAACTTTTTTTAAATTTCAAGAAAGCCTTTCTGCGTGAAGCATGCCCTTTCAGTAACTGGTTGTACGAGTACAAAATGGGTTTGTTTCACTGTGGTTGGGTATTCTGGTGCCCCTTGTAGCATCGGCTGTGACATTTGTGCAGTGCTTTGTGGGATACCAGCACTTCTCCCAGGGGATTGTCTTAGCCTGAGGACAAATTCCTACAGTCCCCTTTGGAATGATCAGCAGTGGCTGCATACAGTTTGGATGCAAGGCAGCTTTGTTCATGGAGTTGTGTACAGCGCTCACCTCCATCCTTCAGCACACGTGCACCTAAATGAGAGCTGGTTTGACAGTGGAGACACGACAGTTGTGACCTGGACATTTGCAACCCCAGATTGTGATCAGTCTTGGATAATCCAAGGGGTGCTGGCAAATCTATGCAGAACATCCAGATCTTCAGGTCCATTAAGGATGTTCTTCCACATGGGGGTGAGCCCCCACTTGATGTGCAGTAAAGAAGGGAGGGATTCAGGATGCTTGGGGTTCCTCAGCTTCAAACAGGATTCACATTCTGGTCCTGCCCCTCCTCGTTCTCCCAGTTCCCATGTACCTAGAAAACAGTGATTTTCTGGGGTTGTGCAAGGAATGGTAGATCACCAAATAAATGTGCTAGACTTAACTTCAGAGCAGTTTGGTAGTTTCCAGTGTGGTGAATATGGGATATTAGGTGTCCCACGGAGTAAATGTGGGGCCAGTGCACTAAATATTATCCAGGCTACTCCAGTAAGTGGTGATTCTGGCTGACAGATTGCCTGTGGTGCCAGAGCCCTGAGAAAGCAACTGCTTAATGCAGCTTGTAGTTGCCCAGGCTTGTATGCTGCCAGCCTTTTTGCAGCAATGATGGCTCCAGAACTCATTGCAAACCAGCATGGGAAGGTGCAGTGGCAGGAGAAACAAGGCTTTCCTTCCTAAAAATTAGTACTTCAGCCTTAAAGAATACTTGCTTGGAAATTGCATTGAGGACAACAGAGATATATGCTTGTGAAGGTAAACCTGAAACTCCATCGACAAAAAGGGTGACTATCATTGCCTTGGGCAGCAAGCTAATTCAAAGCTATACACTCCCTTAGCTAACTTAGGCAGGCTGACTTTATATGAGTGTGGCTAAGACAGAAAGGGTTAACACTCCTCTGAATATAATATATCAGTTTA